TTACAGAAAGCTAAATAAACAAGTACCCTTATCCAGGTGGCCAATGACTCAGCTCCATCAGGAACTGCCAAAGGTCACCGATGGTAAGTACTTCTCGACCCTCGACGTCGCCTCTGGTTTTTGGACCATCCCTGTGCGCGCCGAGGACCAACACAAACTAGCTTTCACTTTTGGCAGCCGACAATACACCTTTACCAGGTGTCCCTTTGGCTACGCTAACTCACCTGCAGAGTTCAACATGTTTTTGAACAAAGCATGTCCAGACGCCCACGAGCGTGGGACACTGATCTACGTGGACGACATCCTTTTGAGGCAGCCAACACTGGACTCTCATTTGGCTGAGATCGACCACGTCCTAAATCAGCTAACAACTGCTGGTGCTAAAATCTCACTGTCAAAGTGCCAGTGGTGCAGAACCAAAGTGGACTACGTTGGCCTCCTAGTAGGTCCAGACGGAGTACAACCACAATTGACTCGCACCCAGGGCCTAGACAACCTCAAAGTCCCAACCAATCTCAAAGAACTACAGAGTTTCTTGGGAGTGTGTAATTACTCTCGCCAGTTCATAGAGCATTATGCGGATCTCGCAAAACCACTGACTGAACTCTTGAAGAAAGACGTTCCTTTTGTCTGGACTGATGCGCAACAGCAGGCAATGAACGCTCTCAAAGACAGGCTCAAGTTAGCCCCATGTCTAGTCTACCCAGACTACAACAAAGAGTTCTACTTGGAAGTGGGCTTCTCACCTCACTGCATGAGTGCAGGTCTGTACCAAATACACATCTTTAATTGATGAGAATAAAAATAACCCCAAGTTCTTTTTCAGTACCATAGCTAGTCTAATGAAAAATCCTATCTCTGTTGATTCATGTATTCCATAGACAACTATAAGCAGATGGCTTCATGAGATTCTTTATGAATAAAATTGTTTCAATTAGGGAAATAATTCAAACCAACATTCTTAGTATTGTCTCTGGTTCTGTGTCAGATGAGACAATTTTAAAAATTCCACTAGAACCTGATTTGTGTTTGGACTGTTTTTGTCCTGTTGAGCTCTCTGAATTGTCAAAAATAATAACCTCATCCAAATCATCCACATGTCTGCTAGATCCCATCCCAACCAGGCTATTTAACTATGTATTTCCCTTAATTAATAATCACATCTTTATTAAATTTTATTTTTTATATATGTAGGTTTCTGTTCAGAAACCTACATATATACAGAGATGACTTCTGTTGTGACTTGGCACTTTTGTTGTAGTATATTTAGCAAATGCTATTGGATGCCTCAAATTTTCCTCCTGGGATTAATATAGCATTTCACTGTCTGAATATGTATAAATCTTTTTCATTTAACCTTTACTTATATGGTTTAGTCTCATTTACAAGGTTTGAACCCTGGACTCTCGGAGTAGGAGTCTGGTGCTCCACTGACTGAGCTATACAGGCTGTAGCCTACCTACCCATCTATCTGTCTGTCTGGTTAATTTAAACTTTATTTATACAGGTTACTGTCACTGAGCCACAAGGACTCATTTACAAGCGAGTCCTTTATAAAGAACACTCCATCTGAACAGGTACTTGAACCACGGACTCTCAGATTCAAAGTCTGATGCTCCATCGACTGACCTATCCAGGAAATAGTTTGCTTATCGATCTATATTTTTTATCTATCAATTTATTTATTTCATCCATCCATCCATTATCTTTACCCGCTTATTCCATTTTGGGTCACGGGGGTCGCTGGTGCCCATGTCCAGCAATCACTGTGCGAGGGGTGGGGTACACCCTGGATGGGTCGCAAGTCCATCACAGGGACACATAGAGACAAACGAGACAAACAACCATTCACTCTCTCACTCACACCTAGGGACAATTTAGAGTTACCAATCTGCCTAACATGCATGTTTTTGGTCTGTGGGAGGAAACAGGAGTACCCGGAGAAAACCCACGCATGCACGGAGAGAACATGCAAACTCCACCCAGAAAGGCCCCTGGACCGGGGTTTGAACCAAGGACCTGCTCGCTGAGAGGCAGCAGCTCTACCAGTTGCGCCACCGTGCTGCCCTAATTTATTTATTTATTTCATTCAACCTTTATTGACACAGGTTAGTCTCATTGAGCCAAGAGGACTCATTTACAAGAGTCCTGTAAAATGGAAGACTTTGGCTGAACAGGGACTTAAACACTTGAACTTCAGATTCAATGTCTGATGCTTTATTGACTGAGCTATCTGGGCTCTAGCCTATCTATCTATCTGTCTATCTGTCTGGTTCATTTAACTGATTTATACTGGTTTGTGTCTGAGCCACAAGCACTCCTTACAAGAGAATCATGTAAAATGAACACTTCGCCTGAACTGGGACTTGAATCCTGGACGCTCAGATTAAAAGTCTGATGCTTTACTGACTGAACTATCCAGGCTCTACCCTGTCTCTCTATCAATCTATCTGTCTGGTTCATTTAACTTTGATGTATACAGGTTAGTGTCATTGAACCACAAGGACACAAGAGAGTCCTGTAATAAGAACACTTCACCTTAACAGGGACTTGAACCCTGGATGCTCATATTGAAAGTCTGATGTTCTATTGACTGAACCAGCTAGGCTCTAGCCTACCTATCTATCTGCCTGGTTCATTCATCATTTATTTATACAGGTTAGTCTTATTGAGCCACGAGGACTCATTTACAAGAGAGTACTGTAAGCAGAACTCATTGCCTGAACAGGGACTTGAACCATGGACCATCAGATTATAAGTCAGATGCTCTATTGACTGAGCTATACAGGCTGTTGGCCATGTCCCTATCTATCCATTTATATTTTATTTATTATTATTATTATTATTATTATTATTTATTTATTCATTTTATAATAAGAAGAATACATATCAATTTACATGTATGTAATTTGAAAAAAAAATAAAATAAAATGAAAGGCAGCAGATGAAGAAAAAATCTTAAGTCTGCTCCTTATTTATCTAATAAACAATTCAAACAAACATTTACTGTAAGTAACA